GTCTATATATCATCTATCTGTCTGTCTGTCTATCTATCTGTATATCGTCTATCTATCTATCTATATATCATCTATCTGTCTATATATAGTCTATCTATCTATCTGTCTATATATCGTCTATCTGTCTGTCTGTCTATATATCATCTATCTGTCTGTCTATATATCATCTATCTATCTGTCTGTCTGTCTATCTATATGTATATCGTCTATCTATATATCATCTATCTGTCTATCATCTATCTATCTATATATCATCGATCTATCTATCTGTATATCATCTATCTGTATATCATCTATCTGTATATCATCTATCTGTCTATCATCTATCTATCTATATATCATCTATCTATCGTCTATCTATATATCTATCTATGTCTATCATCTATCTATCTATATATCTATCTATGTCTATCATCTATCTATCTATCTGTATATCATCTATCTATCTATCTGTCTATCATCTATCTATATATTGTCTATCTATCGTCTATCTATAAGACATTTAGTTGTTTTAAATTGCTGCTTCACAATTAAATGTAGCATGCAATTTATTTTAAAAGAAAAAGTTAAAATCATGTACATTTTCATTGTTTTACATCTTAATTATAAACATTATTACATTTCTATTTTATGTTTAAAAATGTGTTAAGACGTACCTGCAATGTCAGAGCTAAATATCCATCAGCCAGTTTACTAAGAAAACTGTTATTATAATCCTTTAGAAATTCATTTAAAAAAGGATGTCTTGACCAAAAAATTTATTAATTTGTGAACGGTAGTCATCTATCTATCTGTCTATCATCTATCTATATATTGTCTATCTATCGTCTATCTATAAGACATTTAGTTGTTTTAAATTGCTGCTTCACAATTAAATGTAGCATGCAATTTATTTTAAAAGAAAAAGTTAAAATCATGTACATTTTCATTGTTTTACATCTTAATTATAAACATTATTACATTTCTATTTTATGTTTAAAAATGTATTAAGACGTACCTGCAATGTCAGAGCTAAATATCCATCAGCCAGTTTACTAAGAAAACTGTTATTATAATCCTTTAGAAATTCATTTAAAAAAGGATGTCTTGACCAAAAAAATGTATTAATTTGTGAATGGTAGTGTAGCGTATATTTTTAAGAAACATATTTAAGGTAACTTTGCCTATTTATTTATTTACTTTCATTAATTCATTCCATTTCATTCCAAAACTGCTAATCCATAAATGCATTTTCATAAAAGCAAAGTCTTAACCTGTTGAAAAATGCAAAAGGTTTCATTGTCACTCTGAATGAATGTAGATGCTGCCATAGTGACAAATATTCATGTCACCTGTACTCGTCTCCATCTATCACTGGATATAGTGAAATTATAAAGTCCTTTCTTTATTTCTTTGAGTTAAAAAATGTAATTCAGCAAATATTTTTAATATTAAGTAAATCTGTATAAAAACAAATACATTTGTATATAACACGTCATATTGGCAGTCGAAATCATTCGTATCATTCCAGCAGGTGAGTATCCTTCACACACACACACACACACACGTAAAAGTTGGACACGTTATAACAGCCTTTTATTAAATGTTATCGAAATACCAGCAACACCAATTAGAGACATAAATCCTACAGAATTACATCTTGTGCTGTACATCTAAAACAAAAACATTCAAGTGTTTTTTTTTTTAAGTGTCTGTTTTAAAAGAGCAGAGCATCATGAGTTAATCATTTTTACAGAAGTGATGGCATTTCTCACAAATAAATGCTTTGAGGAAATCACTGGGGTAGAGGTGAGGTCGCAAAAACAATACAGACATGAGAGGAAAAACAGGCAGACTGTCTTCAACTAATTGGAATATATAATTTATAAATGGTTAAAACAAATTATACATGTTATAAATGGTCTCCAAGCAGGAGGAAAAAACAAAAAAACAAAACCTTGTCTAAACAAAACAGGCCAAATTATTGTGTCCTCCTAAAACTGCAGATTTATGAATCTCTACACTCTAAAAAATAAAGGTGCTTAAAAGGTTCTTCAAGAGATGCTATAGAAGAACCATTTTTGGTTCCACAAAGAATCATTCAGTCCTTTTTGTAACCTGAAGAACCTTCTTTCGCCACAAAGAAGCTTTTGTGAAACAGAAAGGTTCTTCAGATGTTGAAGGTTCTTTATGGAACCATTTAGACTAAAAGGTTCTTCTATGGCATCGTGAAGCACCTTTATTTTTAAGAGTGTATCTTGGACAAGCTTCTGACATTTGAATAACTGGAGGAAATGCGGGATAAATACCACTGAAATATCTATTTTAAGGCAATACAACTGATTAAACAGATATTTATTCATAATATTTCCTTGGGAAATCCTGAATGAGCAAATGTTGTGTGCTGTTTTAGTATTTCTCACTCTACATTGCTCACCAGGGTTGAACGGAACAGAGGCTGTAAATGAAGATATGTCTAATATATGTGATCAGTTTATTATTAGAATAAAAAAAATACTTATGGCATCAAGATAATGATCAACCCTTGAGGTAACAGGTTTAATGGCAAGATGTAAGAAAAGGAACATGTACCAACACATGGCCTGCGATAACTCAAATGTGTGCCACCATGGAAGATATTATGGCTGAGATTCATTCCTTTTCAGCTTAAAGAGAGAGAAAATCCCTTTAAATTTACTGAAAACTGACTTTTCTTGACTGCACCCGAGTTAAATATATCCGACTCAAATCTTGTTGGATTAAGCTTAGTTTAAAGCAGCACTATGTAACTTTTGTCGCTCTAGCGGTTAATAAACAGAACTGCACACATCCCGCGGAAGAACATTCCAACCGGAGCTACTTCTCTAAGTTTATGTCTCTGGCGATTCACGCAGGTATGTGTTCCTCCGCAGAGGCGACGACCCGAGCAGGCTACAATAGTCCGAATATAAGTACTTATTATAAGTGTACCGGAGAGATTCGGAATAAGACAAAAACGCGGTTTGGAAGATTAATTCATGATGTACTCGCTCATTATATACATTTAGCAAATTTTGAACACTTACGGTTATAAATGTCACCATAAAAAACTTAAGCAACCTTAATGTTTCATCATAAAAAAACAGCACCGAATTAAATAAAGTTTTCCAACACAACTTCCATATAATGACTTGGTCAAAACTTGTCTTTCTCTAGTAAAGAATGGGAAGACAGACTGACTTTGAAACTCTTCTGAACACTGTGTTCATGTTGTCAGATTTATCTGATGTTACTAAATGTTGTGATAGTGCTTTTGTAACCGACCAAGACAACAACACATTTGTGGTAATGACAGCCGCCTGACCAAGATGCCGGAATGAATCTTTGAATGCCGACAGCTTTCTGTTCCTTCATTTTACATCCCTTTTGTACATAAACCTCTTTTGTTGTGTAATGTTTCGTCCCTTTTGCATTCCTCTGGTCTGCATCTCTCACCGTAACTCTCAGGAATTCACTCCTTTTGCCATTTTTAGACTTGTTCTCCATGTTTTGGTTGCTGTTAATGTTGTAGTGAGGAAAGTAGTTCAAACTGTGTCATCTGTTAAAAAACAAAGAGAGAAAACAAAAAAGGGAGATGCAAAATGAATAACCGGGGAACAGTTAGTCAGGTTAAGTTGTTTTAGTTACACAGCATTAAGAGCAGACACGTGAAGCGGCATAGCTTTCGCTGAGATACCAGTGTTGCCACAGAATAACTGTTTGGCTCAAATGCCAAATGTCAGTCGTAAACATCCGGCAGACGGCCTTCAGCGACCTGTTCAAAGAGAGTTACAACACGTGTCACCTCCAGTTCAAATCAAACCCCTGTCTCTGCCATCAAACAACTGTCATACATGTTGCAGGATATTAGTACAATATCCTGTATTTATTCATATTATTATTCCTAATACTGTATATACAATCCTTGAATATTTTCAGACTTAACCTAACTATCTTCATACTTTCGTTTTTATTCTATAATATGTGTCTGGTTGTTGAATTTATATATGTGTGTGTATATAATATATGTATGTGTGTGTGTATATATATATATATATATATATATACACACACCTTGCTACATGTACTGTGTTAGGCTAACTGAGATTTGTCATTTGCACTTATATATTGTTGCTCTTTTGTTAGTTTTGACTGCTTTTATTGTCCTCATTTGTAAGTTGCTTTGGATAAAAGCGTCTGCTAAATGACTAAATAAATAAATAAAATAAATATGTACACTGGAAGCTCCATAGCCACGGAAAATGGCTCATGTGTGCACGCACACTTGGCAAAAAAAGCTCAAAGGGATAGTTTAACCCAACAAATGAAAATGTAGTCTTGTTTTACTCATAATCATATGGTTCCAAACCCATAAGACTGTTGTTCATCTTTGAAACAAAGATCATAATTTCTGTAACAAAACCTGAGAGATTTCAAGCAAGAGATTTGAAATGCATAAGCATTTGTCGATCTTCTTTTGTGAGTAAAAGCCTAAATGAAATCTGTTCGTTAGTTAAAGTGATCATGTCTCAGGGTTTTGGTGTAATGGACTTTCAGTGGAGGGATAGAAATCTCTCAGGTTTCACCCTCTGGGCCTCTTCGGTCATTTTTGATCGAAAAAATGTAAATTCCGAAATTTTAAAAATTGTGGCTTCATTGGAATGAGGTAACACTTGGTGACTTCTGTCACATTAGCTATGTGAACACACACACAAAAATCATGGACATGATTCGGATATGTTAAAGGGTAAAAAAAAAAGTCACACTTGGCTCCTTCGCTGTCAAAAATGACCGACGTAGGAAATGAATGGGAAATACGAAAATATACGAAAACTCAGAGAATCTTTTGGTGGTACAAACTACAAATCAGCCACTGAACAGAACAAAAGTGCACAGCAATCAAGGGGCGACTCTAAAATATCAAGAGTGCAAAATAGCCACCCACGCACGCGCGCACACACACACACACACACACACACACATGCACGCACACACACATATATACACACACACCCATGCACGCACACACACACACACACACACAGAAATGAACTGGTAAGACTGCAACAGAGCAAATTTTTTAGATTATGTAAAATAAAATGAATAAATGAAAAAAAAAAAGATTCTCTCTCTCTCTCTCTCTCACTCACACACACACACACACACACGCACACACACACAGAAATGAACTTGTAAGACTGCAACAGAGCAAATTGAGAATATTCAATGATTGATTGAAATCATAATGCAAAACCTGATATTTATCTAACCAAAAATAGCTAAACCTTGACAAAACATAGTCTTTTAGAATGTTTAAAAATATATCTAAAAGTAAAACCTAATAAAATGAAGAAATTACGTCTAAAAAACAATGAGAATCCAAAGGCCTCTGTGTATAGGGAACTATACAGGAGTTTACATGACATTCCACAAGTTTTTATTTTTTATGCCACCAGATGGCACAATTCTCACTTCAATAAATGAATTTTAAATGTTTTCACTCTGTTTTAACATGAAATATTGCATTTATTGAAAAATAATAAATAAATAAAAATATATGAATTCTAATGGAAACAAATAGCTAATTAAAATTGTATAAATATTGCGTAGTGTCATAAAAAAATACCCTCAAAATTCTAAATAATAATCCCAAAATATTATTAAACAAAAATTTTATTACACTGATTTTCCTGAAAAAAAATAAAAGTTACATTTCAAGGCTTTGGTCACTTTTGACCGTGAATGAGCCAAGTGTGACCCCTAAACAAAGAGGCCCAGAGGGTCAAAGATATATCTTAATTTCAATGAACTCAAATCATTTTTAATAAAAAGGCATTATAGAGGAGATACGATACCACCTCTGAATGTGGTATTGCAAAAAAAATATAAAAAAATTATATATA